AGAACATTTGAAAGGGGTTTCTGGTATGGGTATGTCAAACTTTAGATTTGCTAAACAATACTATTTTGATAAAACTCCATTTATGCTGACAGGAATTTCTAACCGTCAGGAACAAGGAACACAGCCTTGCATTTTTCTTTGTAAATAAACAATAGGAATTCATTTGCATAACCTATAAACCAATGAAATTGAAGGGGAATATTTTATTAATACCCTGACTACTGTGTCTTTATAAAAAGTCTTAATCATACAATCTGAAGACTTGGAAAGATGAGCTCATGAGTGCCAAAAACCATTAATTACAGCTGTAATGATGTCCATTTTCCCTGCTTCTGTGTGACTGGAAGCTCCATTGTTTTTCTCTGCTCCTTCTCTGATAGCCTCTAACCAGAAACTTTGTTCCCTCTGTCTCTTACTCTTCTTATCCCTGAGTCAGCTCATATTCATCCAGTCTTTTTCCATGCCTCTACCCATCTTCTTAATAGCTACTTTGGTGTCTCATGTTCAGAGTTCTTCCTCAGACCTCATCATCAGCTTTCCCTCGTTCTCCACATTTCAAGCTGCTAAAATAATGCTTCATTTATTGTACTGAATTCTGCCTTGGTAATTCTACCAAGCCAACTCCTGTTAGTTGTTCTATGCTATTCTGAATTACAGTCATGGTCTTCCAAGCTGTAAAATAAATGGTCAGAAGAGTGAATAGGGCAAAAAAGATAACATTCCAGATCAAACCCAACTTGTTTTTTCCTTATTATAAAGCATAATCCAAGATTTTTTGTAACTGTTATATGAGAAAGTTGAATAAAAGCACAGTTGTTTTACACAGAACATATCTGGGCAACCTTTCCAGTGAACAATTGATCATTCTGAAACTATTAGCAATTTTTGGACTCATCTGACCATTAACTTTAAAAATGAAATCAACTAGAAAAGCTAAATGTCAAGAATTGTTGTTTTGTTTTGTCTTTTTTTGTTTGGTTGGTTTTAATTGACCCCTTAAATTTTTTTGTCTGGATTTGCAAATAGACCAGAAAAGCAAAGGAGAAAGACTTGTTTTACCACCAGGAAGATTTGTTTGAACTGCCCAGTTTACTTGGCTTGCTTTGTAATTAATTGTTGTCGCAATTGTAGCAGCACTGCTGGAGCACGTAGCAGTTACATACCTTTGTACCATCAGCAAACTAAGGACTGATTTTAACTGCAAGTTTTCCAGTCCTAATGCATGTGACTGAATGAAGTCACAGCTTTGTTTGTGTAAGAATCTGATAATATTCATACCAGAAATGGATGTGTCTAACGGCCAAGATTGCATTCAGGACAAGTGTTGGCTTGTGTGCTTCAAAGGAGCTTGCTCACAAAAAGCTCTGGGACAATTTGTGAAACCGCAGATATACTAGGGTTTGTATTGAGGGCCACGAGGGTGATCAGGGGACTGGAGCACCTCTCGTATGAAGACAGGCTGAGAAAGTTGGGGCTGTTCAGCCTGGAGAAGAGAAGGCTGCGTGGAGACCTCATAGCAGCCTTCCAGTATCTGAAGGAGGCCGACAGGGATGGTGGGGAGGGACTCTTCATTAGGGGCTGTAGTGATAGGACAAGGGGTAACGGGTTAAAACTTAAACAGGGGAAGTTTAGACTAGATATAAGGAAGAAGTTCTTTACTGTGAGGGTGGTGAGGCACTGGAATGGGTTGCCCAGGGAAGTTGTGAATGCTCCATTCCTGTCAGTGTTCAAGGCCAGGCTGGACAGAGCTTTGGGGGGCATGGTTTAGTGTGAGGGGCCCCTGCCCATGGCAGGAGAAACTAGATGACCTTGAGGTCCTTTCCAACCCAAACCACTCTGTGATTCTATGATTCTCAGAAGTAAATTTCTGTCAAGGTTCTGGCTGATTTATTGATTAGGGTTAGGGTTTTGTTTTAAAGTCTAGAAACAACTTAAAAGCCTGATGATGTGCTTCAAGACTGAATAAAAGTGGAGGTTGAGACAGCTCAAGCGTTACTAGAGCACTGTGTACAGTAACAGCATCCTGCTGATGCTCAGGGTAGGTGAAAACCCAGCACCTTAGCTGGGGCTACTCTTGCGTTTGTGGGATTTGCAGTCCTGTAACTGGTGGAGTTTCAACGCAGCTAGAAGTGTGGGTGTAGGCGAGATTGATTTTTTAAAGTGGTCATGGAGTTTGCAATAGTTAATGATGTTTAGGGGAATATCTTTTTAAATCAAGGGCTTTTTTAAAACTAAACGAAGCAAACTGCGAGCAGCTCTCGTTCCCTCAAAGGTCCAGCCATGGCAGCCCTTGGCAAACACACCTCGCACGCTTGCCTGCCGTTGCCAGGGTAGAGCTTGGCATCGTGTTGCGGCTTCCTGATTACTCCTGCGCTGCGGGGTGAGCCCTGGCGGGCAGAGCCCGATCCGCCACACCTCGCTCGAGGCCCCAGCTAGACCGACCGCCGCTCGCACAGCACCGCCCGCCCTCGCCGCGGCCCGGACCATTGCCCCCGGCCCGGAGGAGGGCTGCTGGCGGGAGGCGCGGGTAGGCGGGGGGGCGCGGGCAGGTGGATCCCCCCCGCCAAAGTGCGGAGGCTGGCGGCGTCCTCCCCGGGCCCAACGGTCCCCACCGCGGAGGTGGGTCTGCGGGCGGGGTGTCCGGCACGCCCGGGGCTCGGCTCGGCTGGGCTCTGCTGAGCCCGGCCCGGCCGGGCAGCGCAGCGCGGGTCTTTCGCTGCTGGTAAGTGCGGACGGGATTGCCGGGGGGGTGGGAGGGGTTCTGCTCCCCTGCCCAACGAGGGTAACTGTGGCCTGGTATCGGGGCTCCGGCGACAGCGCGGAGGTCGCCTCAACCCGCCGCGCCTGGCGCCGCCATCCCCAGAGTTTCTCTTCCAGAGACTTCCCAGACGGTTTAGTCTTACACGTGTTGAACGCTTCGAATACAGAGCCCGGCAGAGCAGCTGGAAGCCCTGCTCAATCTGTGACAGGAAAAAGACTGTGGATGCTGCTAGGCCTGCTGCCTTGTCCTCCCTGGCTGTAAAGTCTGATTTAGTTTCCCAGTGTCCTCTCTAGTTCCCACTCTGTTATTGGAAACCTGCAGTCTTCTTACCTTTATTGCTATTGCATTGTACTTGGATAATGGTAACTTGTGTTGCGGGAGTCTGTCTGCATCCGTCATACAGGTGCTCTCAAAAGAGAGAGTTGTACATCCCTTTGCACAAATAATGTGCGCAAGAAGCGCCTGTTTGCCTTCTGATGCTACAGGTCTTACTTGAACTGTTGTGCTGACTGTGAGTTGTCTGATTTTCTTATCAACATCCTCTTTCCAGTTCTGACGTCCTTGTTCCTTGCCAGTTCCAACATCTTCCAAGTACCAGTCAGGGACAGGTCACTCTTAATTGCCAGCTGTAGTTTCTCCTTCCCATGGTCTCTGACAGCTTTGATACATTGCACCCCCACAACAGGTGTCTTTTAAGTTCCCTTCTTCCACATATCCTATTGCTAGTCTTGCAAATCTGATCAAGTTTAAGGAAAACCATGTGGAAGTATATTGGCAAGAACTTGGAAACCTTATTGCAACAGCAAGTTTCTGCTTTGTAGGTGAAGCAGTTGGACCTCCAGTCAGCCAGATCGCTGAGATTTAGTGTTTCTAGGACACAGAAATATTATAAACTTCATCTGTCTCCACATTCGTTCTTCATCTCTCTTCACTAACCCTCAAACACAAGAAAGTAATTTTTCATTTGAAGATTTTCTTAACTAAACAGTGGAAAAAATCTGAAGTTCAAAGGCCATTCTGTTCTAAGAAAATGATGGCCTCCTTAGAACCTTTGTTTTTTTTTCTCCTAATTTAGTAATCTGCTTGAGATCCAGCTCATTTCTTGTATAGACAAAGGCAGGGTCTCTACTCTCTTCTCTCAGCTGAGCTTCTTATTAATCCAGCCCAGTGTTCTCTGCCTGGCACAGAGTTCAGTAGTCCAAGCTGTGATTTAACAGTGTTGCAGCCAGTGTCCGCACAGGGCAGAAAGGTGTCATCTCATCTTGATTAACATGACAGTTGTCTTTTGGGAAAGTGTATTCGTCAAATAACTTAATAGCAGTGTCTCGTGGGTCAGCAAAGAAGTCATAAACAGTAAACCCTACAAGGTTTAAAAGTCTGAACACCACAAACATTGGTTCACTTGCTACATGTTCTAAAAAGGAATATTTTGTGTTCAGCTGGAGAAAGGGTTTGAGTTTCAGGTCCCTGATAGATGCTGTCCTTGTTTCTGCAAAATCATTTATATGTCTTCTGGTCAAATTAGTGTAAAAGGTCCTGAAAGCATTTGTGATTTTTTTTTTCTTCCCTTCCCCCCCCCCCCTTTCTAAGCACAAAAGCTTCAGTTTGGTTTAGGTAATGTGGTACTTTAGTGAATAACAGTGCTTTGTTTTGATAGTGCTGCTTTTTCTGTTGCAATGCAGCTTCATAAAATAAATTTATGTTTGCTCCATGGATCCATCCGTGCTGTATCTCACACTAGGGTTATTGTAGCTTAACTCTCACCAGAAACAGCCATTTGAGGTCCAGGATGTCTGTAAAGACACAATAAAAGTTGCTTCTACAGGGTTAGCAGCTTGGTTTTGGGGAGCAAATCCTAGGAAAGAAGGAGATGTGGCCTCTTCCAGATGGGCTGCCAGAATTCAGGAAGCAATACTTGTCAGTTCCCTGGAGCATGCTGTGCTGGACGAACACTGACTTGGGCTGCTCTTGGAGAGGGGAGGAATGGGCTGAGTGTCATCTGTGTTTGGGAAAGGGAGCTTGAACAGGTGAATGCTGGCACAGCATGGGGCTTTCCATGGCTGCCTATTCCACCTCTGGGGAAGATAGGTTTTATTTTATTGCATATGCAAGATGTGTAGAAAATGTAAGTAACACAGATAAGCATATGGAGGATTGGATAATGTCTTCAGAGATGTCAGAATGGATTTCCTGCATTTAAAATTGTGCTGTTTAGGTAATATAGTAATTACTTTAACACCTATGGGATCTCTGTTATCCATTTTTAGGAACTGTTATGTAGTTTAGTGAACAAGCATGTGGAATTCTCTGCAACCCTTTTCAAGATGTTGGTCTTTGGAAGAGACAGTGGCTGCTTTGAAATTTCTGTAGTGGCTTTACTGAAGGAGAATTTCTAGTAAGAGATACTCTGTCTGCTTCTTTTTAGACACAAAGAATCAAATCTCTGCATATAGTCTGTTTAGGATCATTTATTAAAGCAGTGGCCTCTTGGAAATAAGTAACCAGTCTTTGTGTCTGCATTAGTGAAGATAAGCTATGACAACTATATATAAATACTATGTGTAAGATGATAGACATAGAAAGTACAGATGATATATGTAATAGAGCCTAAAAAAACCAAAATAAATTCTATTTAAGACCTGAAAATTAGGGGAAAAGTGTATTCTAGTGAAATAAAATGTCATAATTAAGTACAGACTTTGTTTTTTGCAGAGGCAGCAGGATTGTGACTTACACAATCGGCAACTGGAAAAATGCCTGAGCCTAATAATAACTTGCCTTTACATGAGGATATTATAAATGGTACTTCAGACTTGAGTGAAGTGAAAAAGCCAGATGAAAAAGAATCTGTTGTAAAAAGAACAATGACTCTGATTGAGAAGAATTGCTGTCACGACACCATATACATGAACGCAGCTAAGATTTTTCAAGGCATTCATACTGAAAAGGCTAAGGATAGAATGCTGGTGCGGTATGTGGGTGACTCAGCACCTCCCGTGCTGGCTTTTAAAGATGTGTGTTCCCAGCGTCTGTCTTATGAACTGGCTTTCAATGCTCTAAAATGTGAGTACAAAACTTTTCCAAGAATTGCCAACAGAAACGATGCAGCAGAGAAAATATGGCAGAACGGTGTTTAGTTTCTGCCTGACAGCATAGATCTTTTGTTAAAGATTTGTTGTTAAACCACAGGTTACTACTACTAGACTACTCATGTCCCTCAAATATTTAAATATCAACAAGTATCACTAGCATGTTGTGAAACCAAATGTTGAAACTCTGTATCTTTTCACAGAAAAGAATTACATGTATTTGGAGTTGCTAATGTTTGTGATTGAATTTGCCCTTAATTTTCATGATGTTTAAACTTTCAGCTTTTTATTAATAATTTTTAATTTTTTCTTTTCCTTCCACAGAATTTTGCAGATTTCATAGCATAACTAACTTGTCAATATTTTCTTTTTTTTGCAGATCAAGATCTTCTTGAAGAAATGCTGTTAGATAGTTGTGTCTACCCATGCCATTCAATAGTAAGTGAACATTTTTGTGAAGAAATATTTTTTAATGTAATTAGAATATTTTTTGAGAATTCTGCAAAATTCTTCAAACCACTTGTTTTGAACTATACGGTAGCCTCTGAAATATTGCTGAGCCTGACTAAAATATTGCTGCTGTTGTTGTCTGAAGAGTCCATCTCCAAGGTACTAGATATGTTGTTTGAGTTTCTTGTTGCATCTTACTGCTTCCAATGGAGCGGCTCTGTGGAAAGGGACCTGGGGCTCCCAGTGGACAAGCAGCTCAATATGTGTGAACAGTGTGTAGCTGCAGCTGAGAAAGCCAACAGGCTGTATTAACAAGGGCACCACCAGCAGCGATAAAGGAGTTGTTATCCCACTGTACTCAGTGCTTGTCAGGACACACCTGGAATACTGTGTTCAGATTATGCCCCTGCTATATAAAAAAGATGTGGACAGTCTGGAGGGGGTCCACACAAAGGCCACAAAGATGGTGAAAGAACTGGGAAGCTGTATGAGGGTTTCATTCAGCCTTGAGGAAAGAAGGTTCAGGGGAGACCTTATGACTATGTTGCAGCATTTAAAGGAACCACTGGGTAATGGGTACAAGAGGAAAATTTTTCACAATCAGCTAGAGGAATAATCTCCCCAGGGAAGTGGGTTCCACAATATTGGGAACTTTCAAGATTCAGCTGGACAAGGGGCTTATCTAGAACCTCCTTTTGCCAAGAAGGGTTGGACCAGATGGCCCTTGAGGTCCCTTCCAAGCTGGTATTCTGCGATTCTTCAAAGAAAGAAGGTAGGAGAGTGAACCATAATGATACTGCACTGTAATAGTTGCTAACTAATGTTGGCCATAAGCCAGTGCATGTCCATGTGCTTTCATTCCCAGCTGTGTCCCCTTGTGAGTAGTGAAGAAAGTCATGCTCCCTTCCTGTCCCTGGGAGTTGGAAAGCATGGAGCGAACCCCATCAGACAAAAGAATGCATTGCACCCATGTTTCATTTCCTAGGCAATGTACTGAATGCAAATATTGTACTGACAAAAGTTGGTCCAGTTTACTCTCCCAGTGTGCTTTCCTGCTTTGACATGAAAAGAAAATCCAGAGCTAGCAGAATAATCTGCTTCTGTCCCTTCCAGTTTAGTCTTAGATGCCTTTGAAAATTACAAGATGTTATTTGTGGAGATTGATGTGAGCAGGCAAATGATCTAACACACTGATTTTTGGCTTGTTTTTGTAAGGAAGTAAGGTAACATTTTTTTGGTAGTGTTCCCTGAATAACTTGAGTTTCCTAGCTAATTCCAGTCCTGTTTGTGAGAGGGTAGGAATTTTTATAGGCATAAGAACTGTAGGAATTTCATGAAAAGAGGTAGACAAAAGTGAGTTAAGTGCTGATAATTACTGTCCCTAACAGAGAAGATGTTCCCTGCTTTAAACATTTAGGCATGGGAAGGAGGTTCTACATATGTCCCAATTGCAGAATGATTGTTATAGCTGAGCTTATCGGTTGTTACACGCTGAACAGTCCCACAAGAGACAAATTGATAGGCAAAAGGCTTTTTTTAGCATAGCTATGCAAGGAACTGCTATAGGAGGAGAAAGTAATTTCAAGGTAACATTAAAAGCTATTAAGATAGGGTATATTATCTGTGTGTATGGAGAATGTTTTAATTTAGATAAGCTAAATTACTTTTAAATTGTATATTTGAATTTTTAAAAACCCTCAAATTTCAGTGTTTTACTAACTCTCCATAGGAATTATACTTAGAAATCAGAGTTTCATTGGAGTTTTTATTCTGCTGCTGACATGGGAGACTGCTGTTTGATATGGAACTTGTTGCAGAAGTTTGGCATGCTTTGTGTCACTTTATCCAGTTGCTTTTCTGTTGCAGCCAGATGAATTAACCAGCTTGCTTGTTGTGATGCTTTATGACCTACAAGACCGAAAGTTTCAAGCACGAGAGATTTCTGATGAAGATGAACCTGTAGCAGACGTTCGGAAAATAGAGCATTATCTATACAGGTATAGATGCAATAACATCTTTTTATTGATATATATTAGCAAAAATACAGACTTGTATAACCAGTACCTTTGTTAAAATAATTATTACAGACGTCTTTGATCTTAATTATTACAGAGGTCTCTTATCTTCAAATTTTGCAGGCTTTATTTTTATTTTTAATGAGAACCTAGTTTGGAGAGAAACTTTCGTGTTCCAATAGTTAAGAAAAATGTAGCTAACCGTCTTTCTGTTGTGAATTACTTTGCTAGGGTCTTATTTTGGAATTGCTGAAATTTTTTTATACAACTGGAGAAAAGAAATTCGATAGTAAACATTCATAACTATGTAACAGTCTCACGGTCATGGAATGGAATAACATCCATTTGTTTAGCAAAACTTCTATTATGAAACTTTGTTCTAATTTATGATAATAAATATTGAACAAACCAAATGATATATATGAAATAAGCATTTTAAGTAGTGTTCAAGTATTTCTTTTGTCAGTCTGTTGATAAACTCAACAGACATTTGAATAGAATTGTGTTGCTGCTGAATTTGGAATAGCCCCGAAAGTTCATAAGTGCAAGGTATTTCTGGAGGGCAGTAAGTAATATACCTTGACATCTAAAGTAGCTCACCAGCAATTTGTATTTACTTTGAATTATCATCTATCAAGATTATGCATAAAGACTGTGGAAAGAAAAGACTGGGAATATTTCCTCTGACATTTTCACATAATAATAATAATAGAACTGACTCCTGGTTGCCATCATCCTTGTGTTGTTTCTGTACAGATTTAGAGGGCAACTTTCATCAAATGCTCATTCTGCACATATATGTGTTTATATCTTCAAACATGCTAAAAAATTTGATGATCGTATCCCACAGGTTACAGTTCCAAAATGTGTCTGTGGGTTTTTTTTTCATAGTTGCCTGGGAAAACTGACATATTCACCTGTCATAATTCCAGTCTCATGCATTTAAGTGAAACAGTCTTAGCTATGTACTACTACCCTGCCTATACAGTTGTCTGGGGTAGAAAATGCCTCACTTGTATTTTCTGTAGCAGCTTGCAGAACGAGACCTCACTTTTGGTTTTTGTTTCCGAGCAAGACAGTAATATAATAGAAATCTTGCACGTTAATAGCTGATGTAAACTTGTATAAAACATACTAAACTTGTGACTATGTTTTTATAGTTTTAAGACCAAATTGGCAGCTGCACTGGCAAGATATCGCATCAAACATGATGCTCCTTCAATTGAATATGTTCTACCAGAAACCATACGTAAGCAGCACCAAAGGGCTTCTGCTTTACCGTTGTGTGTTTGGATAAACACATTTAAAATCAGGTAAGTTCCTTTAAGTATCATCTAATATTGATGTTTTTACATAGGAAGTGATATAGTTTGCTACACACTTGTTCTAGAATTTCCAGGTTATATATTACCAGTAATTTAACTTTCTTACATTTAGATTCTGCTTAGACCACTGACGTTGCATAATGTTTCTTTGTCCTGAACCCAGGACAAGTTTTTATACAGTGCAGTAATGGTATTAATGAACTGTAACAAGTTGTGAAACAGTTTTTCTTACTATTCTATTGTTTATGTGGGTCTTTCACTAATTAAATCAGAAAATAAAGTTAGAAAATACTATATGAGTGAGTAAACTGTGATGAAAAATAGAGAAAACTTCTTTAAAAGTGTGTTACTGTAAGCAATAATCTTGGCTAAGGGTGTTAAGACAGATACAAAACAAAATGTAGACTTGAAATAGAAAATACCCTTTAATAATCCTTATATTCAGTGGTTTACTATAAAGGTAACTATATATGTTTCCAGTTCTGTAGTAACTAATACATGAACCATACCAGGTTATCCTGATACCAGTTTTGTTAGACAGGTAATCCATAGATACGATTTTCAAGAATTTTGTTTTCATACTCTTGTCTTGGACCAATGTCCTGTGCTTAGGTTACAGGCTCTTCAAGATAGAGAATGTGTCTTACTCTGGTTGTGATTTTGCAGCCCTTAAATAAGACTGAACTAAAAGCTACTGCGTTAAATCTACATTTAATGTACCATATAAGCTTGTGGTACTGTCTGAAACTGCATGTCAGCAAACACGTCTTGTTGTATATGCCTTTAAATCTCTATGATATTCGAATTGCAAACCTCAGCATTTTTGCCTTCATTACATTTACACAAAGATTATTTCAGTTATCAGCCATTAAACTCATTGCAAGCTCGGCTAAATTGAAAGCAACTGAAAGAACTTAAGTATTTCAGCATAAATTTGCCACAGTGTCTCCTGAGCAATGGACATATGTTTTGATGCTTTGAATTGTCCTCTGGAAGCACGTATCTCTTTCTTAACTTATCATCAGACCTATTAACTTAATAGTTTCAAAACAGGATTTATATGCCTAAAATAGAGTGAATTCCCCTCTTGTATTAGGCAGTATTGCAATTATGTATGTGTAAGTATACGTATACACCCACACTAGAAAAATACAAGGCAAAAATCCATGTAATCAGTGTGAACTGTATTGCTGAAATAACTCTTGTATATTTAATGGCCAGAGTTGTATGTTAACAGCCTTGAAGATGTTTTCAGAGATTTGAAGGAGAAGGGATTCACAAAAGTTGAGTCTGTGTCAGACTTGGACCATTATACGTATGGTGTGGACCAGCACTGCGGTGATGTGTTGGTTTTTCCTTCCTCTTTTAAAGAAGAACTGCTTAATTTAGATCTTTTTGCAGATAGGAAACTCTTACTGCAGGTGAGTTGATGTCACCCTTGAATCACAGGATCTGCAAACTAATGTTTTACATTAGAATTAGGTTATGTATTGTGTGTCTGTCCTATTACAGGCAGCAACATAAGGTTTTGGACATTTTTTATAATTAGGAGGTTAGAAACTGTTTCACTTACTAAATTTAGCATGGAAATGTTAATGCTTATAATTGATAGCTACATTTGAGTTAGTGGAATGTTTTAAATTTAACCTTAAAAAATAAACATCAAAAGTTGTCAAAGAGGCAGTCTTACCACTGAAAATGTGAGCAAATTTTCTGTGTAACTCTATGTGATTTACCCCAGTTAGCAGCTAATGGTATGCCAATATTCTTTCTTCCTCTTCAATTGCTTATTTGTGATGGAATGATGACACCTCTTTGTATTTTGTGCAGCATGGTTCCTAAATCTCCGTAAGTCCCATTGGTCTTCTCCCTGACTTGCCATCATTAGGCTCTCCAGGCAAGACTGGTCAGAGGCTCCTGTTGTAGAGTGGTGGTTTGGAGTAACAGTGCAACAACATGCAACCACAAATAATCTGAAGTGCCTTGATGATCTTGATTACCTAGCAGAAACATTTCAAAGGGCATTTTCACTTGAGGCTTAGCATTTTCTGGAAATTCTAGCCTCAAAATGTATTACCCAACTTACAAAGTAATTCAGTATTCTGTTTCAGTATGTACATTTTGAATAGAAGATATACATACAGAAGAGAACTATATATGAGAGCCCCATAGGTCACAGGAACAAATTCTGAGTATTACTATTTAAGAATATTCAAAGTGAGGTGAGTAGAATGGTACTTGAATGCTGTAAGTGGATACGTAGACAAGGATGTGAATGTAAAGGTTTAGTGCTCCTCCCCTCCTCCCTTATCATCAGTATTTGCCAAGTTTAGTGCTAAACATATCTTCATTCTTTGACTTTTAAAGTAATTTGATGGGCATAATGTTTGATTTATCTCTCTTCATCACCTGTAGTATGACATCGTTTACTCTTGTTGAGGTCCCTGTGCTTTCTGAATTCAAATCTGCCTCTGTGTTGTTCAGATTGGTCTTTGATCTGTAAAGACTTCATTTCTCCCATAATTATTGTCAAGAGCTATGTTAATAGTTTGGTATTTCTCTGTAAAGCTGCCTTTGAGGATGAGTTCTGCATAATGTGGTCTGTGTCTCTTCTGGAGCTGGCTCTTGCTAGGGGTTCCTCCTTAAGGGGATGATACACACGTTCTTTTCACCTAGAGATATTTTGCTTTTGTATGCATTAGTTAGAATTAGATTATTTAAATTTAGTCCATGACTTTATAAGATGTTTGGGTTTATACTTTATTTAATTCTATATTAGCAGCTATCCCTGCTTAGTTTTTCTCCTGCCTTCTTTCCCATTTTATCCATTCTTTCCCATTCTTTCCCATGAAAACAATGAAATACTTTCCTAATTTGGAAAAGAAGGTTGGCATTCACAGAAACCAAATTAATTGGTGATACTTGATTTTGTGTCATTATTTTCCAGGATAAGTCTCGCAGCCTTGCTGTACACGCTGCACAGGCACAGCTGAATTCAGGTGACAACATTATAGTGGCTCATGTAGGCTCCCATCTGACCATTGCCCATTTGTCAGTGCTGACAAATCACAGCATGTCCACAGTCTTTGTTTGTGGTGTGAAATCTTCAGAAAAGGAAGCAGAGCTGAGGAACTTTTTCAGCCACATGGAATGTACAAGTAGGTTTTAAAACAGTTGGCATACATAAAGTATTTTAATACAGACATTTGTGATGCATATAGATATGGCATAATGTTATCAGAATTCGGAGATCCCTTGTTTGAGGATTTGGGGAGGGCAGTAAGAATTTATTTTTTGTCACAAGGTGAACTGAGAGCTCTTCAGCTACAATTAAGTTAATCAAAGGTTGCAGATTAACCATGTCATAGGCTCCTGAAGTATCGGGGTGAATTTTTCCACAGAAGTAGTTACTGTATAGCAGTTGGTGTAGGTGGTAGCTGGGAACTTTTGGGTCCATTTTTTTGGTGTCTTGGCTGTTGCTTTCAGTCTGATATCCACCTGTTTGAGAGTGTTAATCCAAAACATATGAACTTGTCCAGGTTACCCGGAGGACACAATCAGAACAAAATGCAGCCAGATTCTGGAATCCCATTAGCAGTCTTTTAAGTGGAAGATGCTAAGGTCTGGCTAGTCCTTCCATCTGTCTGAAATCAGTGGGGTACACTTAGCAGGATCTGGGTCTAGCAGCCTCTAGCTCTATGGAAGCCTGTGTAACACCACAGTCTGCTCACCTTTTGTTGCATTAAAATTAGGCAGCCTTGCTTGCATGTAGAATTGTGAAGTTTTTCCTTTCTTTCAGATATTCAGTTGTTACATGAAGACTTCACGGAGATTGGACCAACAGACCCAAAACTTCAAAAGGCAAAAGTTATTTTGCTGCTACCACAGTGCTCTGGACTGGGTGCTGGCGACCCAATAGATTTTATTTTAAATGAGCATGGAGGTAATTTTTGATACAATAGCTAGCTCATGCTTTCTGGTAGCAACAGTATTCAAGTATTGTGGTCTGGACATCATAACTGCCTCAGTAAATTGTTTCATGTTACAAAAAAACCCTGTCTTTATTTAAATTACTATAAGATGTATGCATTAAATAACTTGGATAATTCTGTGTGTCTGCTTCAACTTGATGGTACGAAGTTTGAGGGTTATTCTGGGGATCAGAGTGTATACAGCCTTTCTTTTAAAGTAAAAAGACTGTAGGCAGAAAACTTATTTCAAGATACCAATGTGTGTATGATTTTGCATTGACTACGTTCCTTTATTGACTGTTTGTATAAGTCTATTCACTATACAATTTTCATCAAATAGAAGCAAGAGGCACTAGTGATTACAGGTAAAGAGGGAAGGAAGAATCACTTAGGCACTCCTTGGTATTGTTAATTTGTAAAAACTGCCTTTCCAATGCACCAGGAATAAACCAGGTCTGTTACCAAAGCATTTTTTTGCAAACAGCTGAATTTAAGACACTAGTACAAGTTGCAATAATAAATTCACAACTCTTTGCATTTAGATGCAGAATTACTAAAAGACCTTTTCCGGGGAACTGTAGCCAAGGATAAACTCAGTGTTCTTGCTGAAAGGCAGCTTAATGAGTTGATTCATGCAATGAAATGTAAGTGTGCCAGCTCTCCAGTTTCTGGGAAGACCTCGTACTTTCAATTCCATTGTGCTATCACCAGTTTTTCTATAGGTAAAAATACACTGATAACCCTATTAGTTAACAGTAAGTCTATAACTAAAACCCCTAAATGGTGATCTCAAGTCTGAAGGTGTTTCTGTGGCCTAGTGTTCACCAGACATTAGTACAGAAATCTGTAGCATTGTGTAGAGAACCAGCTTACTGGCTTAGTCATACTCTGCTCTGAAAAAGTTGTAAGTGTAGCCTGACACCCCCCCTGCGTGCTGCCACTTTCTTTTCCCCTCCTTTGGTAGCTGTGTGAAAAAACTGGATATTGCTTAGAATTTGTGCTGAAATCCACAAATATTTGAAAAGATTTTTATTATTAAAACCCACTAGAAACTGAATACCGATGGGTGCGGGAGGATGTATTTTATGGGTAGAAGTGACATACAAGCATAAATTTTTGTGATGCTTTCAGTCCTCACTAAACCACCGTGTGTATGGAGAATTTGAACTGTGGAAAAATCTTGTTTGTTTTGTAGTTAAGGAAGTACAAGCTATTGTTTACTGCACTTGTTCAGTTTACCCAGAAGAAAATGAAAGAGTAGTGAAGAAAGCACTGGAATCTGAAGTGGAAGGAGATAAAGTACAACCATATAGGTATGGAATGAGTTCTGTGTGTGGAAAATTACAGCATCACTTTAAATTGTAGCATAATTCTTAACCTAGACTTATCTGTCTTGCATAAGATTAACATTTAAAATAGTTTTTTTCTGCCTCTCATTCATCCTTTTGACTTTTTCATGTAATCTATTTGTTCATCTGAAATCAAGATGGGAGAAAAGCATCACTAGTTGGAAATAACGTGGCAAGCTTCTGCCAAAGCTATTGCTTTGTCCTATCAGTATTCAGAGTATGAAGCTAGTTTAAGTTAAAATGGAGACTAGAAGTTGGGGGACTTGCTAGCATGCTTTCAGCTTCTGACCCTGAATGATCAGTTTCAAAGGAAAAAGAAATTATATCTTACAATTTGAGAATAACACAGAAAAATAAGAACCTCTGCTGTAGGAATGTTCATCCTTGTATTTAGACAAATGATTTTTTTTGGGGGGGGGGGGGGTAGAGGGACCGACACACAACCAGTTACAGTAAGAGAACATCCTGTGCAACCATAATAAATAGTAATATATATGAAAAAATGTGATGTATACTTTATATGGAGTTAAACCTGTGAGCTGCTACCCATCAGATGGAGCAGTTGTTAAAAGACTGATGGATACTGCCTGGATTTTCCTTTCAGTCATAGTAGATAAACACAAAACAGCTGGCACTTTCTTGCACATAGAGATAATAGTTGATTACAGCATGCAGGTTAAAAGCGTTTTATGTTGCCGAAAGCACAGGAGAGCAATACTATATATTTAGATTTTCTATTATCTTAGCTGATGTTAGTGACCTGGCTATTGTAGGCAAAGCTTCTGTGGTTAAAGTATCATTAAATGCAGTTACATTTCACATGATTAAAATGGTAAATGTTAGCTATGGCCAGTCCAGAGAATTTTAAAAAGAGGTACATTATGTGTGATGTTAAGATACAGTACAACAGAATGCATCTTTCTTGCGATTCACTGATAGGAAAGAGTAGCATGTTTGAATTTTTATGCCAAATGGATGAAATCAGGGTATGTCTTGCCAATGATGCTACACTACCCCAAAAGCATTTATGGATTCTTGCTGTAAACTCTGTTTTCCTCTGGGATTTGAAATCTTGTCAAGTCTATCATGTCTTGATCTATATGCAGCTACTATTCTATGGGAAGAACTAGGGTGACCTTGGAACAGAATGGTCTCTGTATTATTTGAACACAAATAACACATAAATTCATGCTATGTGTAACAGTATGTGTATTAAAAAAAAGACTGTGATTTTTTCCCCCCCCTGGAGTTTTAATTTTTTTTTTCAGAAAAATTCCTTATGTCTAAAGACCTCACCTCCCCCAAAAAGACAAACCAAAATCTAGCCCGTGTTTTGAAGAAACAGCATGAAACTTGTCAAACCACCAGATGATACTTTAACCTTCAAATACAAGGCATTCTCAGATGGTAAGAAAGGGAGAAAAAAGCTATAGTAGGATTCTTGCAGACCTGAGCAGATTTGTGGCTGAAGACTCAATGACCTTCATAAATAACAATTCCAGATTTGGTTCCTCCTCCAGTGCCCTGCACGCAGCTTGGATGTTCTCATGAGTAATTCTTGCTACAATAAAGCTTCTGGTAACCAGCATAAACAGAGCAGTAATACAACACCATAAATAAAATATATCATTTGATTATGCTTAAGATGAAAGCTCAAGCTGTTTAAGATGCATGTACTGCTTATGACAGTTCCCTGTACACCTTCCTTGGAATTAATTAGATAAATTATTTGACTAAAAGCATGCAGGATAGAATTAAAAACTCGGTTGCAGAATTACGAACCCCTGTGTTAACAGTAGTGTCTTTGAGAGGCAAGTTATACTAATAAAACATCCTGTGTGGTCATCACAAAGTTACTTAATATCAATTTTCCAAGAAAGAGGAAAGCTTTCAAGAAACTCTTACACCAGTTGTGCTTGTTATGTCTTTTGGACTTAACTCTGCTGAGTGCTGAACAAAGTGGTGTTGAACAAAACAAGGCTGTGCTGGAGTGGGGTCATACAGTTGGCCTTCAGGGTGTGAAATCGCAAAGGTAATTTCAGATGTACCCCCTGTCTAAGCTGAGCTTACCTTAAGGGATGTGGCAAGCAGTTTATAGCAAAGGCCTTACCTTATGTAAAGGTACACACTGCAAATGTGCATGTAGACAATTGAAATCATTCATGCATTTCCCTTTGGCCTGTCCAATTTCTGCATCAATTTTCACGGTTAGACCATCCGCTAAAGGGATTCCTGGTAACAGTAATCTGTTTATGTCAATCAAAGTAAAGATTATCACTTTCTTGTATTGAATCACCTGATCTAAAAGCAAAAATCTCCTGTGTGTCCTCGGACAGAGTTTTATTTAGTAATACAAGAAGGATGTTAGCCTTGTAGTGTGTTTTATCAAGTTCTGAGGGACATAAGCAAAATCAGGTTACGGTGAAAACTGGAGAACAAACAGTTTTGAAGACTTCCCCTTAGAAATGGACAAGCCAGATGAGTCAGCGTATTGCTTACAAACATTGAATGTGTTTCTCTGAAACCACCTTAGAATAAAACCCTATCTGAAGAGGATCAGTGGAGCACTGAGGGGCTGTATCTTACAGTCCTCAGCAGTGCAAAGAGGAAGAGGTAGTAATTGCATCAGGACATTTTGATAGCATTTTTCTGTACTGAAACAGCTTAGTACTAGTTCAGCTGCTTTACAGGCCAGGTCCTTGTAACAGGTAGGGACTACTGGAATACAGGGGAAATATGAGAGAAAGCTAGCCTTCCTTCCTCCCTTCCTTCCTCACGGATGCCCTGCAAAACTCAATTGTTAAAAATAGGCAAGTTTTCCTCAACTAAGATTTTTAGCTTAGGTAGATAGTTCTGATAAGCATAGAGTTAATTCAAAGTTAACACCTCTACAGTTTCTTGTGTACTGCTTAGTGTTTTCAGAGCATTTCCCAATTTCATAGACAACTTGATAATCCAGTAATTGCAAACCTGAGAAAGAACAAGCTTGTTAATTATGTTTGTACATATTTATTCTCTGGTGGTTAATACTTAGTTATGGGAAAAAGTTAAATGGGAATTATTGGAAAACATGGGGAAAAAAAACAGTTCTAAAAAGATTAATTCTCATGTCTGTCTTAAATTGCAGTTTTTAAAAGTGAAGATAGGCAGCACAAGATTGTAACTGAAAGATGTAATTTGGAAATTAGTTTTACTATATCTTGTTTATTTCCTTTCATAGCTTTCAATATTATTTTATGGTCATTTGTTTATTTTTTTACAGGCTTATTCCTCCTGTTTTTGATACTTGCTCTGATTCAGATGCTTCCACTGAACCTTTTTTCAAAACAGAGCCATCAGAAATCTCCAGTGGCTGCTTTCTGGCTGTTCTGGCAAGAGAGGTAAGCTAAGAAAATTACCACCTAAAGACTTCACAGAAATAAAAGAACAGTGCCATTTTCCACAAACGAATATATGAAATTGAACATAAATAAATCCTGGCTGTTCTTTAGTTGTCTTAAGAATGAAGAATAGGCAAGCAGTTGAAATGTGCCCACCTTCATACAGTTTTACGCTGAGCACAGCTTTCCAATATGTGCCTTTTCCTTTGGAGCTGTTCGTGATCAGAGCAGTTTCCCAGTCAGTGTTAGGAACACCTAGAGGAAACGTATGGTTGCTGTTACACCTTGCAATGAAATAACCAGCTTGATTAGACTCATAATAAATAGTAACTAGCAAAGTTATTTGTTACGTCTGTATGTGTCACCCAGCTCTTCCAGTATCCAAGCAGACAGTGTCACTGTAGGGATAAAGACTTCGTTATAATTTGAGTAACATAGGTATGAATATGTTTCCTTCTAAAACTGAGGCATATGCAAAGGCAGGGGGCTTTTGCTGAGTATATTTAAAAGTCTTGGCATGTTTCCTGAGAAAAGGCCTTAAAGAGCTAGTCTGCATCTCCAAGCATCACCATCTTCCTCTGGTGTCTGAGAAAAGCAGGACTTTTTTTCACTGAAAGACGAAGGGGGGGATAATTAAATTTCATTGAAAATTAAAGATATGAGATCCTATTTAGTTATTTGTACCACTTCTGTCATGCTGCAATTACACTGCTTGAAAGCAGCATGTGTCTTGGGGAAAATGAGATGTTATTAAGAGAATCAGACATGAAAAGCCTTTTAAGTTATCTATTACTCATCTCTTTCTTTTCAATGAAAAATACTTTTTTGAACCTGGCTGAGCTACTAAGTTTTAGTTAATCATGCCATGTACCTCTGTTTACCGGACTGCCTCCCTCCAAATAAACACTTTTGTTTCAGGCAGCTAATTTGAGTTGGTTTTTAGTCAAATTCTAGTGCACAGAAGCAATTGCTCCTATGGACAATTTTTAGGTGATTCTGGAAATTAACATTTTCTGCAAGGCAGAAAATATGTACTTAGAATTTAAACTGAAATTTCTGGTTTACAGTAACCCTCTTCTTGGCTAGTTGTAAATAGTTTCTTCCCCATTGCTTCTCTTTAGATACTTGGATGTTGACCTGGTTCCTAGTTAATCTAGTTTAAGAGTTCCTTGCTTTTGTAGTATGTGCAAGGATTTTCATTATCATTAAAATTATTAATGTTTAATATTATTGGTAATATTTCTGTATTTTAGTAACTACTTCTGATACACACTTTTATGTACATGCACGTTATTGCAAACACGTCACAGACGAAGTCAGTGTGGGAGACATGTGGCATGAAGTCAGAATTCAGTTGCCCCTCTTCAGGCCTGTAAAGGGCAGGGTCTCTGAAGAGCAACTGCTCAGACATCTCTTTACACAACAGTCACATCCTTAATTTCCTGAATAAATAGTCTGGTTAGCGTTTATCACGTGTGTCATCCTGCTAGGTTTCTCATGGAGTCTGCAGCTCTGTGTTGTGGCTTAGATTCATTCTTTCCTTTGAATTTTGCAGAAAGATTCTTCTGAAAATCTGTCTGCTGAAGACATTTTGGGTCAGACTGCAGCAAAAGGACTACTAGATGGCATTCTTGTAGAAAAAACAAAGAAAGGGGGAAAAAAGCAGAAAGTAACACAACTTACACGTAATACTGTTGCTGGTGGTGTAGAGCCAAAGACTGCAGAGCTCCTTCACCGTCAAACTGTATCTAATATTAAGGCTGAAGTTGCTGTGTCTAAAGCAGTCAGTAACATACAACAGAAGAGTGTGAGCCGAACAAAAAGCAATGTTCAGCTGAAGAAATCCAGCCACCCCATTTCAGTCAGATCTCTGCCTAAAGTGCTGAAGCACACACGTCCATTGTCACCTGTGGGCAAGGCCTATGGCAGGCAGACACCTGCTAGAAAGGCACATGCAGAACACAAGCGGATTGTACTGAAGCCTGCAAAAATTATGTTTCCTCCAGTGGCAATGCCATACCTAAGTTCACAAGGAAACGAAGCTGGGATATCAGCTCATCACTGCTTCCACTGCTGGAGTGGAGCAAACAGTTTCCATGGCAGGGTACTTCTACCACCTCTGTGTAAAACAGTCAGGCCAGCTGTGCTTCATCCTCGACCATGGATGCAGGGATCTTCACACATTGCCCTGCCTTTATACAGAAGGTAAAGATTCCTGTATGTATTAATACACTTCTTGCTATATACTTTAAACTAGCATGTCAAAACATACATACCCCCCTCAGCTGCACAGATCTGTAGCAATACTCAATTTCAAATTGTTTTTTTTTTAAAGTGAGACTGCATTTTTTAAGTGACTATTTCTCTTTACAAGTACTAGGCACCATTTAGACTCTGACACATGGAAACTAAGCCTTGCATAGTGAACCAGTTAGCTCAGCTTTAGTTCTAAAACTAGATGTGAACTTTGGTACAGGCAACTGGCCAAGTGCACTAAAGCTCATGCACAGGTCTTCTACTACTTACTCCCTTGGTGTCTACTCAGCTGTGCCACAAAATCCTAACACTGAAAACTGGACAAAATATTCTCATGCTAAAAATACGGAATAATCATAATGTCATGTCAGACGATGTCACAGCTCGTAAGTGCTTTTCACAACTTAAGCATCTCTCAGTTGAAAAGAGCTGCTACTGTCCAAGTAAGTTATTTTTGTAAGTGTTACTGCAAGCCACTGAATAATGACAACACAGAGTGGCTTGTCTCTGGAAAGAGCTGTGAGCTTCTAACCTGCTCCCTCTTGCTAGCAAATATAAAATACCTGTAAAGTATTCACAACTGACTTCTAATCTGAGCAGAGGATAAAAGGGACACTCAGAGATACTTTTAATTATAGTATGATTTCCTATTAAACAAGGACAGAATAAAGAAGGAAAATGACAATCAATGATGGAATGACAGTAAGAGGAACCTCGGGAATTGTATTTAGAAGTGTAGAAATGAAACAAAGACAGCAGAGCAATATAGAAGGGCAGAAGTTGCTGTGGCCCAGAAGAGAAATTTTCCTCAAGGCAATCATTTAAGATAGTTGACAGAAGCGCTGCCAGTAGTGTCAGCACTGTGGAATGGAATCTTAACCAATGTGACATACAAGTCTCGATTTATACCCATCCACAGAAAACATTTTAACGTATCTATTTTTCTCCCTCACCTACACCAGTCAACGTAGCTGGATCAGCTCTACCTTCACAGGAAAGGATGTGAATGATACTACACCGGCAGTGTAACAGCTGCTTCTTGCTCTTCAGATGCATACCCTTGCATTGCTGAATCAGTGAATATTTCTTCTAGCATTTTAATTGGAGCCAGCTGTCCTATTCAGAGGCATCCATCACCTACTGCATATCCCTGTGCTCCTTACCTGTTCCAATAAAAGGAAGAACCCTGCTCTTGTTTCCATCCAACCAACCATCTTAGAGGAGGAGACATTCTACATGTTGGATAAAAGGAATGGTCAGCAAGATTTTGGTTTATTTTTTCAATATGGTTGTTAAATGCTTAAAATATACTTAGAGATTTTGCACTTAGAGCACAAAAGTTTTTGAAAATCAAAATCTGTATCATTCATTATCAAAAAGAATTAAAATTACTCATAAAAGAACACACCTGTGTCTGATGACAGAATTTCTTGGATACTTACGTAATGCGCATCATGGCATCCACCACCTGGTCTCTTCTTGCTACCAGGAGTTTACATCTTTGGAATGTCAGAGGCTGAACCTCTGAGTATCTTGATGTCTTGTCAAGAAGATCAGAGCAGGGCAGTGGAGATTTTGGCTCTGCAGGTCAGGAGCTTGCTTTGCAAGCACCAAATATCACACAGGAGCAATGTCTTGAGATGGCTTGTAGGCAGAAGCCTGTATGCTCAGTTGACTTTTGTCATCTGACTTGATGACTTTTTACAGTGAAACTGCACCTTTTGTCAGTAATATTCTGTAATACAATTGTTATTTTCAACTAGAAACTGTTGATTTAGCTTTCCAGAGAAAAAAGTGTCCATTGTTCCACCACTGCCTCTAAACCACCGGTGTGTTCTTCCCTCCCCATAACCACAATTTAGAACCAGTAACAGTTGAGACCATTGTTTTATGCAGCTAAATTTATTCTCAGAACAGATTACATTTAGATGTGGAGAAGTGGTCAACAGCAGGGAAAATTGTCCTTTTTGCTGTCAGTCACGTGCTTTACGTAAGACTGAGCTCTGCTCATAAACAGTGGGTGCATTTTCTTCTTTACCGTTGTTAAAACAAGTCAGACCTGCTTTCACTGACTGTACAGCACAAGTTTTAGCAACGTATTGAACCTTCCCAAGAAAGGAGTGCTGGGTTAATGGTAATGCTGAAAGGCTGAGCCCCTACTAGCTGTTGAAATAAGGAAGTTCTCTTTGCCATGGGTGACTTATGACAGTTTTAGATCTCTAGTTAAATGATTTATGAAATGCTTGATAAAATTAAAAGGGATGTAGAACTCTTAGTGACACAGAACTATTGGATATTTCCATAGGTTTTGGTCCTCTGTCACGGAGGGGCGTATTATTTCTGTGGGTACAGGTGGCTGCCCATCAGGTACATCACAAAACCCTCCTTCTACTGCAACTGGAATCTGTGCCCTTCCATGCAAGTTTCTGCTATTCCCATTCCACCCTACTGTGGGTGGCCTCTGCAGCCTTACATCTCCCACACGCCCTTGCTCCCCTTCAAATGGAACAGTAAGTGGCTTAAATAAAACCTACAGCCAGCACTGTGGATTTCAGAAGAACGGCTTTTATCTTGTAGTCGTTGACTGTGAATATAAATCTCCTTGCTTCTGCAAGTGAGCTCGTCAATGACATGACTGATGTGATACCTACCTCTAACTTACTACTTGCATTGAAAAAAAAATTAAGGAATTAGTTTTGCTTTACATGATTTTTCTACAGACTTCAATAAAAATGTGACTACAAATAATTACAAAGCCTGCCTTTTTTAGGCAACCTATAGTATACAGAGTGGAGAATGTTACAAGAGCACGTCCAGTAAAGACAATACATCAACATAACAATGCAGGATATTTCAGTAAAAATAGAATAAATAAAATAAAAATATTTTAAGCTGTATTTAACAGGTTAATTTAGAATATGGCATCAGACATACAAGGCATAGTGAACACGGCTGCCGGCCTACGGAACCACTAGGGATTATAAAAAATGCATAGATAACTGTAGGGTTGCTGCAACATTGACTGAACCAGTGGCAGTTGCTCAAACACACATCCCAGACAGACTTTTTGGCCATGGTAAAGACTGTTGTACTATATTGTTTGACAAAAGACAAGGAGTGTTGCAGTGTTACGCTGGTTCTGCAAACATCTAGGCGTGTATTTAATCTTTTGGAGAATATGGAGTTCTACTGAAGCAAAAAGGCCGCATACAGTCAGATAGTTAAGCATGCTACTGAAGTGTTGGCAAAATCAACATTTTCTGAACAGACACAAAACTCAAAACATACATTGGCAGGTGACCTATGGCATTTCAAATCCCCTTCTGTCTTCTCTTCAGCCCTTCCTGCAATGGCACCCTTTGCCAGTGAAAGCAACTGGGATGGTGGTAGCCTTGACAACCCCGATGCAGAACTACCTCTATGCTACTCTTTGCTAAGTGTTGGTTTTGTTTAAAGAGAGTCCAGATCTCTCTTGGGGAGAATCAGCACGGTGCAGATACAAGTACAAAGTTTAATTCTGTGGTTTAAAATTCACTGGTGTAGAACAGTTGCGAATCCCAAATCCTGGCTGGAACTTTAAAAAGACACTGTCAAATTATTTTCTGTAATTTAAAATAAACTGAAGCCAACATCTGAATTACTAGCACAATGGTAAATAAAGGAAGTTTTATCTCTCAACTTCATGGTCCTATCCAGAGGTATGGTGTTTGCCACCACATCTGGATGTGCGTCATGACCACACCTGGTCATGAGGGGAAGTGAGTTTTTACCCTGCTCCCAGCAGGCATCATTGGGATCAACACTAGAAACTGAACAAGCATGTGTGTAACCTGCCATCTCCATGCTTCACAACCTGGCCTTATGGTCAGTTTAACCTCTGGTACTGCTGAAGTGGGGTTGTTGGCATCCCCTCACCTCAGCTCTCCCTGCCTGGCATATGCAGCTACTCCCCCAGCTGACCAGCAGCGGAGCCAGTGTGGACAGGGGAGCAGCAATGGGAGCCCTGGGAGGGAAAACAATTGCTTCAGCGCCCAGGGTGCAGAACTGTGCTCATAAGGAGATGAGAGATGGGTGGAGATCAGCTCTTCAGGGGGTGTTCTGGAGAGCTAAATTTAATTACAACTAACAGTTGCATAGCTAGCCTTAGCTGACACGTGCTCATACATCATGCTGAGCTTTGCTTAATTATTTTTCCGTATTGAAAAACTGCAGAAATTTCTTGAATCATCATTCTTTCCCCTTTTGTTCTTACGTTGCTTTGGCCCAGATGTTGCCATTAGTTTTTTTAAACAAGGAAATAAAATGTTATTTTATATCAGTTTGTTGCATAGTAAAATAAATAAACACAGCTTTTGCAATGACAACCTTGCCAATGTTCTTTTAAAATTAAATGACCAGATTTGTAGACCTGGGAGGCAGTTACAGTCTGGAACATCTTTCTAGATGGAGGCAAAACAGTTTTAATGCTAGTTAAAAACACCTTTACTGTTCCATTTCCAAAATTTGTACCAATCTGCAGGTCAAGACAGAAGATGGCAAAGGGAGAGACTCAAGATGCGTGACTGCATTTGAACATCCACCTGAGGTACACTTTTGAGGGGCAACACTGGGCTGGCTTTGTCAGGGCCTGCGGAAGTGTGTAAGTCAAAGCAATTATAAGAAGCCTGTGGAGCAAAGCATGAAATCAGGTTTTATGTTTATTTATGCTCCATCCCTGGCAGTGTTCAAGGCCAGGATGGACAGAGCCTTGGGTGAAATGGTTTAGTGTGAGGTGTCCCTGCCCACGGCACGGGGGTTGGAACTAGATGATCTTAAGGTCCTTTACAACCCTAACTATTCTATGATTCTATGTACCCCCTGAAGCACTATCCTGTTAGAAAAAACTCTCTCCTTATTTTGTCACGAGAGTATTAAAAAGAGATTTCATGGAATTCTGTAATTGACAAGAAACACAACTGATTTTTCTGAGGTGTGTTCAGCATTCAGCAACAAACTGAGGGGAAGGGGGAACTGTGCAACCAGATGCTGAATTGAACATTTCATCTAACACTTGTATGGAAAAGGTTTGGAATAGTTTAGTCCCTGTAAGAGTTGTAAGACAATAAAATTACAGGCTAGTTCTTTCTTACTCCTGATTGGTTTGAGCCCTGTGTGAAAAAAAATGGTATTTGTGATGAATTGATGGCAGATTTAGGAGAATAAATTTAACAGCCAGCAGTTGCATTTGTATGTTTAAAGCTGAAAAGCTTCAGTAGATCACCCTGCAACTCAGTCACTGAAAACTCTTCTGGATTTTTCAGCATTGCTTTAGTATTAAGCACAATTCTTCTCTAAGACCATGATGTATAACTGGGAGATGAAGTAATGACACCATGATTCAGAAGCATGTCGGGGAGTTATTAAAGTAGTTGCTAGACCAATGCTGACAAACAATTTAAAACTGACAGGTGTAGTTCTGTAAAAAATAAAACTTGGTATTTAATCTACAGTAATTCAATGGTAGCTAACACTTGGTACCTACTCCAGTGTTGAAAACAGAGCAAAGTGCTGTAGGAGTTAAGATTGGTTTGTGACAAATTCAGCTCAAGACAGTGAAACTAGCAACTTGGGCATCATTCACTCCAAGGACTTTAGCATGAGTTCACTGGGAGGGACGTGGCCATATTCTTTTTTTTTGTGTGAGTTTAGGTAACGTTCATGTATTTACAATCAAACAGACCTTCCATTGTTCATGGTGTAACTCACTGACAGCAAAAAAATTATTCATGCTTCTTTTCATATCACACGATGGTGGCAAGAACGAGAACATGCTTGTCTAACATTGCTTCGATAAGGATAAATTCTCTGAAGACAAAGCATCAGCAATTTGAAATGGAAGGCCAGACAATGTCAGTTCACTTTCCTTAGTATAGCTAATGTTATCTTCAGTTAAGGGTTAGGAGGCTCTTTTCTCTGGCGCAGCTACGGCATCTCAGTGACCGGGCGTTTCTGTTTCAAAGTGTCAATGAGGGACAACACTCCTCGCTTTACGTTGGTTGTAACTCTTCTAGTCACGGAGTCTGCAGGAGGTGGGGGTGGTCGCACTTTCTGTGAGGGAGGTCTGGCTACTA